AAAAGTGACTTTTCAATAAATATTCCTTCAAATCCGAGAACACACATAGTTTCATGTCCCGTTGCCTAGCAAACATGCGACAGTATATGGATTCAGGACTTTTGCTGATCCATATGCATCCTTTCTTTGTATCATTTTTAGCTTAGCCTTTATTTTTATTTCATTTTAGGAGCTTTTCCAGTATTAATTAGATGCCTGTCAAGCCTTACAAATGCATACTTTTATTTAATTTTGCAATTTGTTAAACAGTGGCAGTGCAACTTAACTTCTGTTGACTGAGAAACCTCCATATATGCTGATGGACTCAGGCACACACCATACAAGGGGGTATGCTCTCTCTGTCACCACTCTCAACCCTACCGATTTAACATCTCACTGTGCTGGGGCTTCAAAGTCATTTCTCTTCTTATTAATATTTTTCATGGTATTTACTCTCATTTTCCAGGGTGATTTGAATGAACTTACATTTCTACATGGTGAGGAGCGACAATATTCCTGTGATGTATGTGGTGATTCATTCAATCAAGAGCAAATTCTGATAGCACATCAACACATACATAGCGGGGAGCAGTCATTTTGTTGCAGTATGTGTAATAAGTCATTCAGCTGTAAGACTTGTCTGAAGACAAATCAGAGCATACATACTGGAGAGCAGCCGTTTTTCTGTGATGTGTGTAGTAAGTCATTCAGTGTTAACAGTAATCTGAAGACCCATCAGCGCATACATACTGGGCAGCAGTCATTTGTGTGTGACATTTGTAATAAGTCATTCATTTCAAAGTGTGATCTGAAGAGGCATATGCACATACATACTGGGGAGAAGCCATTTTGCTGTGACATGTGTGGTAAGTTATTCCGCCGTCAGAGTAGTCTGAGGATACATCAGCATATACATAGTGGGGCGAAGCCATTTTGCTGTTCTGTATGTAATAAGTCATTCAGTCGGCAGCGTCATCTGAAGATTCATCAGCGCATACATAGTGGGGAGAAGTCATATTTCTGTGCTGTGTGTAATAAGTCATTTGGTGTGCAGAGTTATCTGAAGGTTCATCAGCGCATACATAGTGGGGAGAAGCCATATTTCTGTGCTGTGTGTAATAAGTCATTCCGTGTGCAGAGTCATCTGAAGAGGCATCATCGTGTACATACTGGGGAGAAGCCATATTTCTGTGCTGTGTGTAATAAATCATTCGGCATGAAGAGTAGTCTGAAGACACATCAGCGCATACATAGTGGGGAGAAGCCATTTTTCTGTGCTGTGTGTAAAAAATCATTCTGTGTGCAGAATAATCTGAAGAGTCATCAGCGCATACATAGTGGTGAGCGGCCATTTAAATGTAACATGTGTAATAAGTCATTCAGATGGGTAAATAGTCTGAAGATACATCAGCGCACACATGTTGATGTGTGAAGTAAATCATAGGGCAGTAGAAATGGGTTTCGACTGAAGGAACAGTTTGTGTCTTGTAGCATGCCACAGTATTTCATGTTGTAATTAAGACAGTTTTGCTGTGTGTGACATGCTACATTTTTTAAGAATGCTACTAGGTATTGGAGTTGATTGTGGGTGACGTACAAAATAATGAGCATAAGCTCCACAAGACAATAGTAAGGTCAAGAGTACATCACCTAACTCATGTAAGAAGGTACTGATACACAGGTGCCCCACATTACAGTCACTTCTACCACCAGAAAATCTCGTCAACATGTTGCAGTCACGAAGTTTTAAAGAGATTTATCAAAATATATTTCATTTCCATTTTAGTACAATTTTAACTTTTTTGTTTTAATGTGTAATCTCTACTTTTTAAATTTTATTATCTGAGTATTTGAAAATTTTAACTGAAAGATTCAATTTATACATTTAAAAACACCCAAATGCACAATAAGGATCCTTATTGAAGAATTAGATGCAGATTGTTAAATGCAATTCAACAAATGAGTCTGGTATCATTGTACCCCCAATGATGACCCAGTATAAGGGTCAAAACATGTAGCATCATTAAAAATAAATGCTGATACGATAGTGTCTGCTTTGTTTTAAATGTAGAATATTGTTGTGTAGACTGCATGCTTTTGTATGCATTGTATGTACGTATGTAGCTGTTTCAGGATATTTGCACATTTGCTTCAACACAGTGTGGTGTGCCTAATACCATTTCGCACAATCAGAAGTAGTGGCCTTTTTCTGGCAAAAGCCAAAGGTTTATATTACCAAGGAATCTTGTGTGGCATCCTAAGAGATGACTCATATGGATTTGTTCATGGTATCAGGGTGGACATGTCATATATATATATTGTCATGTGTTGGGTATATGTTACGCGACAAGTAACGTCACGCCTTATTTCATATAGCGAATTTATTGAACACCTGCTCTCACAACCACACAATTTACAATCTCACAATTACTGCCATCAGCAGTATCACAAATACTTCTCCTGTAGTCACTGCCATGCACTCGATACAACCTGACTCGGCGACTGCTACAATTCAACTAACTGGTTAATCATTACTCACTAGTAACTCACTCGTTACTGGCTCAATCCTCACTCACTACTGAACAGTGTTCGCTGCTACTACTTTAGCCTCGGCACGGACAACACAGAAAACAGTTACGTGATAGGTACCGCTGTTGCCTGACGCCGTGTTTACCGATTGCCTAGCAACAGTCGTTGCACGGGCTTCCCTGTTGCATGACACCATGTTTACCAGTGTCACTAGCAACGCTGTCAAGAGTTGTCTCCTGCTGCGTAGAAACTGCGGTATCCCTTGATAACAACGCAGACGCTCTTCTGCCACATCACCGCAGGGGAGGGGGGCGCCCACTGAGCGTTGCATACTGGTGGAAGTTGTGGGGGTATGTAACATCACTTGTGAAACCACAGAGTTCACGTGACCCCTACTTCTCGTTGCACAATCCACGTCACTATATATATATATATATATACAGGGTGTCCCAGGAGAATGTGCCAAACTTTGGGAAGGTGTTCCTTATGTTATAGTATGCCGATATAACCCAAAACAGCTATGTCCAAAGTTGAACGGTTACGGAGATAATGGCCCGAGAAAAGTGTGGTCTTCTGGGTAGTCCACGCACTGTACCGGTCTGCTGGCATGTCTTATCTACGTTTGTCCTTGAGTGTGGTGATGGCAGCTCATATTAGCCCCTTACACTCGCATACCAGAACGCGCAGTCAGCAATGTTACTTCAGCGCTTGCCATTCATGTGTCATGTATAGTGCTTGGAACTCTTAACAACAACTTTGACATGGTGTGCGAGTTTTTTGTAGTTCAATTTAACAGCTTCATGTCACTCACAGGTTAGTTTGATGTTACGTACATTATTAACATTACAGAAACCACATATACCTGCCAGTTTTAATATGTATTTTGTAATCAACAAGTGTGTAACACCGGTCAAAGTTTCACACTTCTCTGGCCATTATCTCCGTAAGCGTTCAACTTTGGACATAGGTGTTTTGGGTTATATCGGCATACTTTAACATAAGGAACACCCTCCCGAAGTTTGGCACATTCCTCCTGGGACATCCTGTATATATGTACGCGTGATAAAATGACGGGTTCCAGTTCTGATGATTGGATTTGTTAACAGCTTGGTTACACACTCTATTAATTACAATCAAATACAGCATTTTCACTGATTTACACACACCTCATTATCCACTGTTGCATGCTCCATCGCTCTCATGAAGTCTTCTACATCACTCTTGACATCCTCACAGGCACCCTTCTTTAGTCCTGGTTCCACTTCGCTTGCTTCCACCACTCTCGAGTACTCGTAACTAACGAATACTCTCATTGTGTAGCTTCTGCACTGACCACACAGAATACAGCCTATATTGTTGGACGTGTTTACTGAGCTATTGCCCAGCAATGGACTACATAGAAACCAGCTACATGATAGCAACCACTGTTGCATGACATCACAGCTTAGCGTGGAGGGGTATTTACCGAGTGTCGCGTAGCAATGGCTGGGTGAGGTGTGTGATGTCACTCGCACTTCCTGTTGTGCTATCCAATCATTCACAGAGTTATTGCCTATCAAAGTAATGATACAATCCGAAACTCTCCATGTTGCACGCGTGCCCTGAGGCCTCCGGTTCAACAGTTCCTGCATAGAGCAAATACGCCACATTATACTTTATTTATATATATATATACCGTTAGGCTGTTTGGAAAGAACAACCTTTAGGAGGCAGCAAAGTGGCATGCAGCCAGAAAGCCGGAGTAGTTTAGATCAGGGTTGATTTCCTAGGCAACGAGCAACGTTCCTATTACAACGGCTAGGAATCAGAAGGCATCTAATCCTATACAGTAGCTAGCAATATCCAAGCAACGGATTGTTCATTGCATAACAGCGGGCGGAATTAACCCTTTGACAATGTGACAGTCCAATGTCAGCCAGAGGCCAGGAGAGTTTGTATCTGATGTTAGCAGGAAAGAGTTCTTATCCAACTAGAACAGAAATGTTGTAATACTGGAGAAGAACCGTCTAAATGACGTTATATGTGGTGAGTAATTGTGTGAGAGTAAAAGTGATTTTTTGATAAATATTCCTTCAAATCCGAGAACACACATAGTTTCATGTCCCGTTTCCTAGCAAACATGAGACAATATATGGATTCAGGACTTTTGCTGATCCATATGCATCCTTTCTTAGTATCATTTTTTTAGTTTAACCTTTATTTTTATTTCATTTTAGGAGCTTTTCCACTATTAATTAGATGCCTGTCAAGCTTTACAAATGCATAATTCTATTTAATTTTGCAATTTGTTAAACAGTGGCAGTGCAACTTTACTTCAGTTGACTCAGAAAGTTCCATACATGCTGATGGACTCAGGCACACACCATACAAGGGGGTATGCTGTCTCTTGTCACCACTCTCAAACCTACCAATTTAACATCTCACTGTACTGGGCTTCAAACTCATTTCTCTTCTTGTTAGGATTTGTCATGTTATTTACTCTCATTTTCCAGGGTGATTTGAATGAACTTAAATTTCTACATGATGAGGAGCGACAATATTCCTGTGATGAATGTGGTGATTCATTCAGTCAAGAGGAAATTCTGATAGCACATCAACGCATACATAGCAGGGAGCAGTCGTTTTGTTGCAGTATGTGTAATAAGTCATTAAGCTGTAAGAGTTGTCTGAAGACAAATCAGAGCATACCTACTGGAGAGAGGCCATTTTGCTGTGATGTGTGTAGTAAGTCATTCAGTGTTAAGAGTAATCTGAAGACCCATCAGCGCATACATACTGGGCAGCAGTCATTTGTGTGTGACATTTGTAATAAGTCATTCATTTCAAAGTGTGATCTGAAGAGGCATATGCACATACATACTGGGGAGAAGCCGTTTTGCTGTGGCATGTGTGGTAAGTCATTCGGCCGGCAGAGTAGTCTGAGGACACATCAGCATATACATAGTGGGGCGAAGCCATTTTGCTGTTCTGTATGTAATAAGTCATTCAGTCAGCAGAGTCATCTGAAGTTTCATCAGCACATACATACTGGGGAGAAGCCATTTTGTTGTAATGACTGTAACAAGTCATTCAGTCAGCAGAGTCATCTGAAGATTCATCAGCGCATACATAGTGGGGAGAAGTCATATTTCTGTGCTGTGTGTAATAAGTCATTCGGTGTGCAGAGTCATCTGAACATTCATCAGCGCATACATAGTGGGGAGAAGCCATATTTCTGTGCTGTGTGTAATAAGTCATTCAGTGTGCAGAGTCATCTGAAGATTCATCAGCGCATACATAGTGGGGAGAAGCCATATTTCTGTGCTGTGTGTAATAAGTCATTCGGTGTGCAGAGTCATCTGAAGATTCATCAGCGCATACATAGTGGGGAGAAGCCATATTTCTGTGCTGTGTGTAATAAGTCATTCGGTGTGCAGAGTCATCTGAAGATTCATCAGCGCATACATAGTGGGGAGAAGCCATATTTCTGTGCTGTGTGTAATAAGTCATTCGGTGTGCAGAGTCATCTGAAGATTCATCAGCGCATACATAGTGGGGAGAAGCCATATTTCTGTGCTGTGTGTAATAAGTCATTCGGTGTGCAGAGTCATCTGAAGATTCATCAGCGCATACATAGTGGGGAGAAGCCATATTTCTGTGCTGTGTGTAATAAGTCATTCGGTGTGCAGAGTCATCTGAAGATTCATCAGCGCATACATAGTGGGGAGAAGCCATATTTCTGTGCTGTGTGTAATAAGTCATTCGGTGTGCAGAGTCATCTGAAGATTCATCAGCGCATACATAGTGGGGAGAAGCCATATTTCTGTGCTGTGTGTAATAAGTCATTCGGTGTGCAGAGTCATCTGAAGATTCATCAGCGCATACATAGTGGGGAGAAGCCATATTTCTGTGCTGTGTGTAATAAGTCATTCGGTGTGCAGAGTCATCTGAAGATTCATCAGCGCATACATAGTGGGGAGAAGCCATATTTCTGTGCTGTGTGTAATAAGTCATTCGGTGTGCAGAGTCATCTGAAGATGCATCAGCGCATACATAGTGGGGAGAAGCCATTTTTCTGTGCTGTATGTAAAAAATCATTCTGTGTGCAGAGTAATCTGAAGCGTCATCAGCGCATACATAGTGGTGAGCGGCCATTTAAATGTGACGTGTGTAATAAGTCATTCAGTTGGCAAAGTAGTCTGAAGATACATCAGCAAACACATGTTGATGTGTGAAGTAAATCATAGAGCAGTAGAAATGGGTTTCAACTAAAGGAACAGTTTGTGTCTTGTAGCATGCCACAGTATTTCTTGTTGTAATTAAGACAGTTTTGCTGTGTGTGACATGCTACATTTTTTAAGATTGTTACAAGATATTGGAGTTGATTGCTGTTACTAATTTTTCAAACTGATGGGAATTGAACTGAGTCACATCATACAAAACATCTGTGCAAATGAGTTCCATTTGATTCTGATTGCTGAATGTGCACAATTCCCTGTCTTGTTGAGTGGGAACAGACATGACATTACATGACATTCTCCTACAGTTATGATGTTAATTCAGCTGTGGAAGCTAATGATTAGTAGAGCATGGTCACTGAAACTGAACGACAGCTTATACACATAATTCAGCAGCGGCATATGTTTTTTTTTTCTGTATGTTATCTGTGCTCTTCTCCCATTACATGTGATTAAATTCGTCAATCACTTTGTTACAGATTGATATATCACTTGGATTGAGTATATTCAGATAACTTTTATGAATTGGTCAAATGAGTGCAAACTACGCTATATTGGACATTGCAGATGAGACGTGATACAAGGTATATTGATTATAAAATGAAAGTTAAATAAAATATGTTTAATCTCCTTGTGGAGAAATAAAATAGTACAGAGAATTTAATTCAAAGGATCATGAAAGACTTCCCTACATATTTTCATTGTGAATATCAGCAGAGAAACTGAGCTGTCTGTCATGAGATCAAAAGAGAAAGTGGTTTGGCTTTGAGGCACTCCTTTTTGCTTTAGGTCTCCTTTGCCTTAGAAGGCAAAGTAAATTTAAGTGTGATTATATAATTCTATAATAAAATTAGGTAATGCCATTAATATTATAAATTTAAATTCAGAGGTTTCATGTTTTGAAATGACACGAGTAATAGCTTTTAAGTGTACTTAAATTCAGTGCAGTTAGGGCTGCCCTCCATACCAATTTTGTTGACTGCCCGAGTGAACATCACTAGCTGAAGCCAATCTCTGATTACTGACACTATTCTTGCCAAGGAACGCTTCCCTCATTTTGCATAAGATCTACCATACATTCATCCCTCAATAACTTTGAATCAGCAGATCTTTTCGTCGTGTGTGTCTGCATCACCAGAACTGATCCTGCTCCATGGTCCAGGAATGTGTTCCATTTTGTGTCTCTTCTCCATATAAAGTAGTGTGCAGTGCATGACTGGATTTGCAAGTTGCAGTTGTCCTCAGAAAATTTGAACGTAGGCTGATGCTGTGTATTCTATATGCTTAAAGAAGGGAATATAGAGTGAAATCATCTGGCTCAGGATAGAGGGCAGTGTCCAGCTGTGAACAGAGCATTGAATGGTAATGAACACTTGCATTCTATAACATATTGGTAATTCATTGAGCGGCAGAGCAATCAGTAGCTTCTCTGGAAAGGTGCAGCTGTGTGAAGTTGATTAATATTTTGCATTAGAACTTCTAGACTGATTTCCTGGAACTGGAATTTGATGTTGACCCCATCCTGCTGAAGTAACCCTGCCAGTGCACTTCGGTTTAATTGGCCTTAACACTGCGATGCCAATACAATAAACTTCTTATTTTGTGATATGTTTGGCAGCTGTGTCGGTATTCAGACTACAGAGCTTGAAATTGTAGGGTAATTATGGAGAGATGAGTTGGGGGAAGTTGTGACTTAATTTAAGGTAAGAAATTTAAGAAATTTTCCTCTCGTGACTGACAAAAGTGAAAAGGCTCAGGATCATCTTCATGCAGATATTTTACATGTAATGCATTCAGGAAATAAGAATTTGCATACTACACTCAAGTGCCAAAAGTGATGGGATAGCAGTATGTAAATTTATTTTTAAGTGGCGCCACCATCCCTTGACGGCTTGGGAATGTATTTCCACCAGACTGAATCAAAGCTTGTCTTCTTTCAAGAAATGTAATTTTGCATTGTTTTTTTTTATTTATTTAGTTTCAGACATATATTAATTACTGCTATATAAGTAACTCCAGGGAGCTGAGTTAGTAATCGTTAATGGAAGTTCTTATTTTTGAGACCTCACATCCCACTAGCACCGAAACTATTTTAATGTATATAAACTTGATGAAGTGACAGGAGGTTGGAGAAAACTGCATAATGCAGAGCTTCTTAACTTGTACTCTGCTCCAAGTATAATTAGAATGATGAAGTCAAGGAGGATGAGGTGGGCGGTGCATGTAGCAAGAATGGGGGATACGAGGAATGCGTATAGGATATTGGTGGGAAAGCCGGAAGGAAAGAGACCACTGGGAAGACCAAGGCGTAGGTGGGTGGACAGTATTAAAATGGATCTTAGAGAGATAGGATGGGATGGTATTGATTGGATTGATCTCGCTCAGGATAGGGACCAGTGGAGGGCTCTTGTGAACACGGTAATGAACTTTCGGGTTCTATAAAATGCTGGGAAATTCTTGGGTAGCCACAGAATTGGCAGCTTCTCCTGAAGGGCTCAGCTCCATAAGTAAGTAAGTAAGTAAGTAAATAAGTAAGCGTTATGTCTCCTTGTGAACATATGTCGTGCACAGCGAAACAGCTGCTTGTATAGCTGAACCTGGTGTACCTTAAGTGAAGTAGAAGAAAACAAATGTTTCTGAATTGAGCTTCATACACAGAAATTCAAATTTTAAAATTGCTATCTTATATCACTCAGAATTGCTGGGTTTTGGGATTGTGTCCATTGTCTGGTGTTCAAAACACTAGAGAACATACCATTTCATGAACTGGGTCTGTTTCAGTCCCCTCTTTGGGGGCAGGAGGGGGCAATACTCTGCTGGGTCTATTAGAAAGCTCTTTCTAGCAGGACAATGGACAAAGTCCAAAAATCCAGCAATTCCAGAAACGTTTATAATCTACTGGTATTCTACAGGTATGTGAGTTTTCTGGCAAGTGTGTTTTATTTAGGGTTTATTTTACAATGCTGTTAGTATCTTAGGCTCCATAGGATTATAGGAATAATGCTTGATAAATGGTGAACTTGAAACGATTTGAAACACAGCAGTCATGACTGAACTTGATCGACTGAAACGTCACTTGACTTTTACTGGACAGTGTGGCATTATATCCCAGAAGGCAGAAATCAGTCTGTTCTTTAAATAGACAAACAGTACAGTCTCATAATATACAATGTATGCAGTTGAAACCATGTCGTTACACCTCCAACTGATGCTCATTTCATCTCCTAGATGCATTGTGCAATTAATTCCATTAGCAAAGGTTAAAGCAGAATCTAAAAAATCTTCAACAAAGTGCATTACCTTCAGCAAGGAGGTTATCTGTTGACTACACTTGTGAAAGGTGCCTAGAAGAAGATGAATCAGCTGCACATATCCTATGTGATTGTGAGGCCCTAGCTTATTTAAGATTTTATCACCTAGGTCAGTTCTTTATGGAACCAAGTGACTACTATGATGCCCCCATAAGGAAATTCCTTCACTTCATCTGAAGTGTAGGATTAATAAAGGGTTAATCAAAATGGGAACCACAGTGGATAATTGATGGTCATGGTGCAAGGATTAGATTATTATGACCCACCACTCATACAATTATTCGTTCATTCAATCAGGTCAGTTGCCTTTTGTTGGAAGAAGCTTGAAAAAGATATTGTCGGTGTAGCAGATGAGGAACTCTGTAACTGCAACCTCAGCAAAATATCCAGCTGTGCTGCCACTGGGTTCACTTTAAGGTCCTTACAGTACAAAATGTTGGGGGACTACACAATGGCCAGATTGTGAGAGATAATGTCTGTTGTATGAGACTGTTTAGCTACATGAGCCAAATGCAGCAGTAGGGGCCCCCAGGGTTCTGGAAAAACAATGCAGTACAATCCCCACACAAATCATTTTATTGCATACACTTTCTAAAATATGGTATATTCTAATAATCACAATAAATTTCCCATAAAATCTCATAAATTGATCATTGCACCACAACATTTTAGAAACATGTCCTCTGCTTTAAATTTCCATGTCTTGTAAATTCACCTAACTCTTGCTGAAGTCGCAACCAAAAAGTATAGCATAGCCAGATAAGGAAGTTGCTTGACAAGAATTCAAAGAGGAAATACGACATGCCCCAATATTATGGTTTGCAACACTGTTAAATTGAACTGATGGCAATCAGTTGAATTGCTGACAACCAGTTTCCTAAAATATTCATAACAAAGGGTTTCTTATAATGGGTACAATACAATAAACAGAGATGAGCTATGTGAATTACTTGTTCATGGTGACACAAATTCTTATTCATTAATAAGCATAAAATGTACCAGTGAGTATAAAGTTATCATGTCACCTTCAAAAATACCTCTAGTCGGGAAGTGGCAGTTTCTACACAGCAAGCTGCATGTGGAAAAGTCTGCAACCCACTTTGGGACTGCACTGAAAGGCATCAACAAAGGCATGGTAGAGCTGGTATGTGCACAGAGGGTTTGGAAGTTCAAGGAAGTACGTCTTGAGTGCAGATGCAACGGCATGAAGAGGTTTCTGATATTCACAGACAACTGGCACCAAATACTCATCAAATTCATGCCTGTAAAAAATTGAAATTAATATTAGTAACCTTATATATCAACCCTTATCCAGCTATCACAAGATCCAGAAAAAAAATAAATCATAATTAGTTTCACTCCCAGCATCTTTATAACTGGCAATCAAAGTGTGTAAGTGTGACAACCAATTACCTGAAGGTGGGTGAGGCACCAACTCTAGAAACGCTCTGTAAAGCTAATACACCTCACTTATTTGACAATGCCCAGCACAGGACTGGTATCAAAAATTGAGCATTGCCACAGATTTTTGGGGATCACAAATATTGAATATCTACGAGCATGTGTAAATTACTAGGTTAATTATAATGAGTCCACAGAGTTTTCGTTTGGGAGCAATCAAATTAAAGCTTTATAAACAATACAGACAATAACAGATTTTTACCTGAGCTCAATTTTTGATGTAGCACTGGACCGCCCATAGATTCCTCCCACAATCCCATTGAATTGGACATATTCCGTGCATGCCAGCAACACCACTGGGACCACAAACAGAAAATGTCTGTATATTGAGTCTACTGAAACAAAATAACCTTCTATTCATGAGATTAATTGATGTGAAGAGCTGATCCTGCTTTGTGCAAGAATTAACTTCAGTACAGCCTGTTTTTCAAGACCCATTGCAGATTTACCCTCACTTCCATCTTCCACTTTCTCTGTGTCAGCCTAGGAATGGAAGTGCAATGTGGATAACCCTCTGTACTACTGGAATCAGAATCTCACTGCCTTCGTTCAGATGCATTCACTTACACTGCTTGTATACACTGTTCCCTTCTACCACAGCAGCAACAGCTGATCCAGCCTGATCCTACATAACTCCGCCTATTTGAATGGCACTCTCCACACACTTGTTTCAATGTCAGAAGTATTAGAAACTCTCTTGATAATATTTCCTCTGTATCATGGTGAGGGTGTCTGTAGCCACTGAAAACATTCAGTAGCATAGCTAGTGGTGCAGCATCCCTCACTAGACAGGCACAGAGGTAGATAGCAGACAAGGAGGGGTACACTGGATATGCAAGTTGGGTATTGTGCTGGTACGCTGTTAATATCTATACTGAAACAAATTGAGTACTCCTGAGATGGGTGGTGTATGCAATGTTAAAATAGGCTTCATTGAATACTATGAAGCAAAAATGAAATATTAGGAGTAAGATTAACTTGTCCTCATAGCAGGAGGCCAACCAGTCAAAAACCTCTAGCAGTGTCCT